CTGTGCAGGTCCGTGGGCAGCACAGGCACCGGGTCTCCTGTGCTCCTCTGTGCTCAGCTCCCTGTGACCCCATCCTCTCCTCACCCAAATCCCTGTCATGGTACCTTGTGCCCCATGATGAGCTTGTATCTGTGCTTTCTCCTGAGCAACACACTCACTTGTTGCTCTTCTTCTTCCATACCCACAGCTGCTGTGGCCACCCGGACATCTCCATCAGGTAATGCTCTTTGCCTCTTCTCTCCTTTTATTTCTGGGCCATCTCCCTGTTGTTGTTTGGTTTGGTTTGGTTGCTAATTGATTTTTGTTTCTATGTAAATATCACTTTAAACTTGCATGATAATTCTTAGGCAGGCTGTGATATCCTCTTGCATTTCAGTGATACTTATTTTTCTGTTATGATGGTCGGCTGTAGGCAAGTCGTTTCTTCACTGGGCTCTTCAGGTAGATCAAGGCTTAAGGATGTGTGGTCTAAATCTCTAACTTTTAACCACATACGTTATTACTGGCAAGGTGGTGTTCAATTATTGCAATGTGTAATATTTGGCTATTCTGTTTGCTGAGCTGTCATGGTCTTCAGCCTATTTTTGCCTTAGAAAGCAGATTCTAGATTCAGAGCTTGATTATTCACAGTAGAAGACTATACAAAACTGAAGGTGCCTGAGAGCCCATCCAGTCTCATCATGGGAAAGGGCAGTATCTGAGCATAGCTGATGCTCCCAAGCTTAGAGTAGCCTGAATATTCCAAAATTCTGAGACAAGTGAGGAGTGTGCTGTGCAGGAATACAAAAGGAGGATTGTTGTCTTTGTATCTTGTTCATAGCTTGTGCTTACCTTCCTATAAGGAAACTTCTAGGATTATCTGTGTATTTAACATAAAAATTATATTTAATTCATCTGGCAATAACATGAAAGCTTTTTGCAGCTACACTTATAGCAAAAATAAGACATATTTCAGACGTGGCCCAGTGGCCTGGAATGCTTATTTCAGTCTGTGACCATAAAATTACAGAGTTTTCCTAGAAGACTGGCAGCTTATTTATCCTCCAAAGTCCTTAGGGGAATAAAGAGAAGCAGCAGGGTGGCTGAAGGGATGCTGTCTGCTCAGGAAGATACTTCCATGTTGACTGTCATGATGCCTCCCAGAATTAGACCTCAATTGCAGAAAGGAGAGATCAGAGCAGAAAGCCCAAAGTTGTTACAAGCCCAGCCTGAGGGTGTTCTGACACCATAGATATGAAAGGGAATCCCAAATCCAATATGAAAGTAAACCTAAAGGGATAAAAAAACATTCGTCTTGATTGGGTCATACAGAATATTAGTTGCAGTTAGCTGGAGACCTGCTTTTCAGCAACTGTAGATGAAACACGTACAGCTCAAGTACAACTTTGTAGAGGTTACTGTTACTGTAAGTACATTCTCTTCCATTTCTTTCTGCAGCACCTTATTTTTGTGGTGGCTCAATGTCAAATTCCTCTGGGGTGCTGCAGACTCCCTTCTACCCTGGAAGTTATCCAGACAATGCTGACTGCGTGTGGGAAATACAAGTAGAGAACAATTTCCGCGTTATGCTCACATTTAGAGATATTATGTAAGTAAAATATTGATTCCCTGGGCAAATAACAAAGTCAAAACATACTTGAGAAGTCTGAAAACCTTCTGAAACAGAAAACCTTCCCAGTTTTAAAGATTATTTCAATAACATCCAGCAGTTGGAAGGCTCCATCCCTTGCAGTGCTCAAGGCCAGGTTGGATGGGGCTTGGAGCAACCTGATCTAGTGTGAGGCGTCCCTGCCTGTGCCAGGGGGGTTGGAACTGGACGATCTTAAGGTCCTTTCCAACCCAAACAATTCTATGATTCTACGATTCTATGCAGAAAAAAATCTGGATTGCTGTAGTATTTTCTGCTCCCAATTTTCTGCTACATCTACATACAAAATGAATAAAACCTCAGCTATGAAAACCTTAAGTGCTGATTTTATCACATGTTAAATCTGAGTTTCTGAAATGCATCTGACATAGTGCTGACATTTGTTTGCCAGGCTGCAAAGTGGCAGGTGCCAGTATGACTATGTAGAAGTCTACGACGGGCCTCTACACTCTTCCCCTCTTCTTGGGAGACTTTGTTCTGGTTCCTTTCCCACGTACACATCCTCTTCAAACATGATGACCGTTCGCTTTCACAGCGATTCGAGGAACACCTTCAGAGGGTTTCAGGCTCACTACTCCTCTATTCCAGCAGTTCACAACTCTAGTAAGTTGTTGGTTGGTGTTTATCGACATACAAGCCTGATTACTGCTTTTGTTTGCAAAATAAAGATTTGTGTGCATTTAAAGATGTTAGGGAAATTATATGGTGCATGTGAATATGATGGGTTGGTATGTGAACTGCCTTCCTTCTAAATGAAGCAAAACTAATATTTTGTTCAATTACAACCTTTAATCACTAGCAAATTCATAAAGTCACTAATGTATGGCATTTTCTTCTACCAGCCCTTCGGTGCTTGCCAGACTACATGCATGCAGTGGTTAGCAAAGACTACCTCCAGTCTCAAGGCTACTCAGCACAGATGGTCACTTTGAATGACAATCGTTGTAGACCAACAATCACGTCACGTGAGGTTATATTCAACATTCCCTACAACGGCTGTGGGACAATACGAGAGGTATGTATTTTCCTGAATTGTGGAACCCACTTTGAAAAGAGTCATGAAAGGGCCCTTCTGGACTACAGTGCAAAGTGAACCAATGAGACCCAGAGGTTTTTAGAGCTTTAGGGATTCCCCATGCTTAACAGAAATGAGCTGCTAGGGAGGAAAGCATGGGAAGAAATTATATGAACTCTCCTTGATTTAAAGCAGATGTAGTATTAAAAGTGCCGGGCAGGTTTGGGATGACTGTACTACATGGTTGGTGTTTGGTACAGATGTTCAATGAGCTGGTTTTGACTTGGAATTAACAGAGGTTTTCTCCACTGACTTCTGTTTAATTGCGTACTTCAGCAAGTTTGTTTGAGCAAAAAAGACCAACATCAGCTTCTTGGTTTAAGGAGCTTAAGGTAAATCTGCATTTTCAAATTGTGTATTACTCCATTAAAGCTTAGAACATGTAACATGACAAAAATGCAATTCCTCATTTTAAATTGCATGTTAAACAGGAGAACAATGATACAATCAACTATTCCAACACGATCAAAGTTACATCTTCCGGGAACATAATCAGGAGGAAAAAGAATATTAACTTACATATCAGTTGCAAAATGCTACAGAAAACATGGATGCAAATAATGTATGTTGCTGAGGACACTGTAGATGTGAACGAAAATCAGTTTGGAAGATACGACATGAACATCACTTTCTACGATTCCTCATCGTTCTTGCAACAAGTGCACAACTCTCCGTACTACATTGACTTGAACCAGAATTTGTACCTTCAAGCTTATCTTCACAGCTCTGACCCAAATCTGATCGTGTTTGTGGACACATGTGTGGCATCACCTGATCCTCATGATTTTAACAGGCTGGCCTATGATATAATCAGGAATGGGTAAGAGCTTTCTCAAGTTCTTAGAAGCATAGCTGTAATACCCTTTCTTCATTTATTTAAAAGACTATCACCAACCTGAATTGGTTTAGACCTCAGTATCCACAGGCTGTTAAGAAGGGCCCTTGATTTTTCATTTTTACAGTATGAGCCTGGAAATATGAAATTACATTTAGATTTTACAAATATTTTATTTCACTTGGTACATCCTTGTCCTATATGCAAAATCCGAAGCAGTGAGGTAGATGAGATGAGATAGTGAAAACTGTCAGCAGAAATCTATCATCCTAGGCATTAAATATGTTAGTAAAATCAGGTTAAGCGTTAGAATAATTTTTTTATGGCTCTTATTGCACAGACATTATTAAAAGCCTGTTCTCCCCTCTTCAACACTTAGAATCATAGAATAGTATGGACTGGAAAGGACCTTAAGATCATCTAGTTCTAACCCCCCTGCCTTGCGCAGGGACACCTCACACTAGACCAGGTTGCTCAAGGTCCTGTCCAACCTGGCCTAAATAGAATATCCTTCTCTCGGAAAAAAAGAGTTGCCAGTACTCTAGCTGCTTCATAGGACTTAAATAAGTCTATATTTAAAAAGTCTGTACAATGCTATAAAATTTGAATCTTAGTCCCATTGTGTTCTTGGACCTGGCTATGATATAATTTTGTTTTAATCTAATCTATTGCATTACTGCAGGAATATACCCGTGTGTGTCCAGGAAGCCTAATTCTCTTTTCCTTTCTTTTTAGATGTGTTAGAGATTCTTCCTATGCCACATACTACTCCCCCTACAGCCACTTTGCTCGGTTCAAGTTTAATGCCTTTGAGTTCATCAGCCGCCATTCATTAGTCTACCTGCGGTGCGAGCTGGTGGTGTGCAGGCTCCGTGACTATTCCTCCCGCTGCTACCGGGGCTGTGTTAGCAGGTCCAAGAGAGATGCAAGTTCTGCTGAGGTTTTTTTTTGGTTGTCGGGCCACTTCAGCTTCGAGAGGGTGCTCAGAGTAGGAATATTGGTAAAGTCAAATAACTTGCTTTCATATTTACTCTAAAACTACTTTGGGCTTTAGGAAAAGTCACAGGTTTTCTGATATCTGCCACTGAAATATGATTTAGCCAACTTTGCCGTAAAAAGAAGAGATTTTTTTGGCTGAGCCAAATGCCTACAAATCTCTTCTTTCAACACATTGCAAACCCCCTGTTTTGACCTGCATGTATAAAGTATAACTGCTTTGACTGTCCCAAAGAAGAGGTAGTGTGTAACCCATTTTCACAGAATCATGGAATGGTTAGTGTTGGAAGGGACCTTACCCATTCTATGATTCTATGAAACTGGGTGCTATGAAATTGCCATGAAAATTTTAGTGCTATAACTCCATTGAACTAATTAGCTCCACTCTGCTGGAGCCAATTGAACTAATGGCTAACATGATGGCCCGCTCAGCCTTCTTGAGAACCATTTAATTCCTTTAGTTGTCTTCTGCTTATCAAGTTTGCTTAGTTAAGTTACGTTGTCATCCCTGTTAATGTAAAGCATGTTCAAATAGTTTAAAGCAATGAAGTTAGCCTATTTCTGACTCTTATCTGGGAACCATCCCTTTTAACGCAGCAGCTATCTGTGTCCTGATCTTTAATAAACTGAGATCAGCCTCCTCTGCCTTCACTCTCAGGGCTGGACTCCTCTGTGGCTCCTCCCCAGGCGGGTGCTGTTGATAACCCCCTCGCACCAGTTGCTGCTGCCGCCGCTGTCCTGGCAGTTGTTGTCTTTGTTCTTGCTGGGTTTCTTGCAAGACCTGCACTGAAGAAACTGCTTTCACATGGGACAATGTGAGCTCAAAGGTCAGCTTCATCCACTCAGTGACTACAGGGCAAATGTCACGTATTATGAGCTGCCAAAATGCTTCACTGACCACAGTCACATAAGTGCTATTTGTAAGAAGCTGTGATATCTTTCTCTGCAATAAATCCTATCCTGTTGTAGTGCTTTAGAACAATTTGTCATCCTAACACCTCTTAAACAATTAAGAAATCATTTCAACATTCATGTCATGAGTTGTTTGGTACAACCATCTTATAATTTTTCTCCTCTTTAATTCTCTTCTTACATTCTTCTGAGACCATTTATCTAATGCCTTGAAATTTTGTGTGCTGAAGAGAAAATATGAATGAGGTATCAATAAGTATTTCAAGGTTTAGTAAAAAGGCATTCTCCCCATTTAATTTGGGGAGAAGTAATAGGTCATGTCTGGAAAGGAAATGTAAAAACTGATCTTACCATGGCATCTGGAATTGTGGCTATACAATATTCTCATTGTTTTGAGCATTGCTCTTAATGCTAAATTTCTCAATGAAGAAGTAACAGGTCTGTGCTTCTATGCTTATTTGTAAAATGCAGAGATTTCCAAGCTAGAGTAATCTGTTATGTGAGCAGTGTAATTTAAAATCAGTCAAAGGAAGAAATGTTTACAAAGCAGTAATTCTATTTTGTCTTTCAAATTAATGTGGCTGTGATTAAAATACAGATGGATGTTTTACTCTGTTGAAGAGTGTGGTCTGTTGGATTAAAAATTTGCTGAGCAGTGGCCTGAGCCCCTGCTTCTGAAATTACCACATAGGGAATTTCTAAGTAACTTAATGCAGGCTTCAAAAGGAATGAGATAATTCTTTTTCTTTCTGCATGTGCAAATTTACAGAAGATACCTGGCCTAGGAGGACTCCTCATTCAGAAATGCCTTTTGGTTTCTATTATTTTCTCCTGGTATCACTCATAAAAAGCAAAATGACTCACATTCTTCAGGGGACTTCGAAGGACCTGTCGATCCACTTTTCCTCCACCCCTGTGTTCCCTCCAAAGCAGATGGCTGACTGAGTCCCTGAGCATCCTCACCCATCTGAGCAGGTCCTGCATCTGCTGCTGTTCCCACTGCATCACCAAAGGTGAGGACTTCAGGAAACATGACAGGAGGTTCCCCCACATGCCAGTGAGGGCTAATTGTCCTTTACAACCAGTGTATTTCTCTGTGTTATTGGAGAGAAAGCTTTACCTCCAGTATTGGGCTTTCTGCTCATTGGTTGTCTTTTGAAACATTTCTAGATACTGCTGTGAAGAGGTGTGAGGTACTTCTGGTTTGTATGAGTGTTGGGCACACCTCTGTGTGTGGCTACAGCAAGGCATTTTGATGGAGCCAAATTGTAAAGGATGAGTAGAAAATAAGATAAAACCTAGCAGCAAATATAAAGCAAACATCCAGACCTCACAGGGAAGATTTTGAAAGACTCCTTGATTCTTCATGTTGGCAAAGCTGAGAAGGAACAGGGCACAGAAATCATCCTGCCCTGAGAGGTTTAGAAAAAGTTCCCCAACTGTTTTAGTGCTGCTACCTTTGCTCTTTTCTCTCCTGCCGTTTGTTATCTCCTTGACATACCTCCTGCTCCTGAGATCGCTGCTATAACCCCAGTCCCCTTCTCCCTTCACATTGTGGCTTTGTCTCCATGAACGTCACAGCCTGTTTCCTTCAAAGCTACTAGGTCCCTGCTGCTGCCTCTATGCTCCATGTGAGCCAACCCTGTGCCACCTCCTCCTCCACCATGGGCACTGCTGCTCAAAAGCACATCAGCTGGAGCTTCCCTCTGCACTCTCAGCCCAAAATCTTCCCGACAGACATTTCCCTAACTTGCCTATGCAAACTTTTATGCTTGACATGACTCAGGATTAAAATTAGCATCACTGTTGAAAAGGCTTTTCACAAGTTCTATTCTCACTTTTCACTGTTGCAGGTGGAGCCCAGTAGCTTTTGCCCTGTTCCTCGTAGCCACAGGAAGAAATTTCCTCCCCTTTCTCCTTAGATGTATTTTACCTAGTTGAAGATTAATGTTTTTTTTTTCTTTGAGTTTTCACTTTTCTAGACTAGATAAATCTGAACACAAAAGATACTGAGCTGTTAAAAGTCTTTTGTTTGCAATATTTAAGGCTGAATCACACCATCTGATCTAACAGCTTGTCAAATCAGCTGGAAGCCTTCCCACATTGGCATACATCCTAAACCACACAAACCCCTAAATCTCATCCAAGAGATCGAATCCCAGCCAGGAGACATTTCAGGTCTCACCACAGCGTTATTTAAATGTTGAAAGACATTTCGTATCTGCTTTCCAGAGTAAAGTTTTGTTCGATTTTTAATACTTTTGGTTGCTGATCACAATAAAATTATTTCATTTCTTCCTTTTCCCGTGATTGTATGCTTTGTGAGGAGTTTGGCTTCTCAGGACTTACCCAGCCTTTCAGAGTGTGTTGTGTGCATTCACAAATCAGGCTGAAATATGCTGGAAATGCAAACAACCAAATCCCACATGAACATTTACCACTGGTGCACAAAAACATGAAAAGCAAGATCTGGGATTTTTGCCTTTCAAGTCCTAGTTGAAAATACAGAGAATTAAAGCCAAAAATGTTAACTCAAATTGTTTATTTGGCCTTTTATTTTGGGTTTTTCTTCATTCATTTTGTGTACATCAGTGTTATGCCAATCACATAGTGAAGCCTCATGACTGCAAACAGAAGGATGTCAAGAACCGGGAGCACATGGGAGGCCATTGCCTTTGCTCTTTTTAAATGAGCTTTTTTGTCACCTCTACATCCTCAGAGAGGACACATCAACCATCACTTGGCAGATTTTTGCTTTGAATAACTGCCTGACTTTGGCATTAGATGATTATTTAATTACTTCTTATTATGACCATTACTACTCAATCATGTAGTATGTACTTGTACACTCAGTAGTATGTAGTCAACCAACGATCTCAGCACCAACTAAACATGTTGTTAGCAACAGAATGCTAAAATCCCTTACAAGTGTCATCCTATGTAGTGTGTGAGTTGGGAGAGGATAATGACTGAATTACAACATTGTCATGGTTTTGGTTGGGGTACACTTAATTTGCTCCCTAGCAGCTGCTACAGTGCTGTGTTTTGGAGTTAGGATGAGAATAATGTTAATAACACTCTGATATTTTAGTTGTTGCTGAGCAGTGCTTACACTAAGTCAAGGACTTTTCAGCTTCTCATGGTGCCCTGCAGTGAGTAGGCTGGGGGGACACGAGAAACTAGAAGGAAACACAGCCAGGACCTGATTCCAACTGATCCAAGGGATATCCCACACCTTATGGTGTCATGCTCAGTATATACGCTAGGGAAAATTTGGCCAGTGGGCCCTGCTTGGGAACTGGCTGGGTATTGGTCTGTTAATGGCAAGCAATTGCATTTGTATACTCAAATTCTATTACTATCAATCACTATTGTTATTTACGCTTCCTCTTCTGTCCTATTTTATCTTAACCCATGACTTTTGCTTTTTTGTTTCCCCAGTTCTCTCCCCATCCCACTGTGATGGAGGAGAGTGAATGAGTGGCTGTGTGCTATTTAACTGCCTGCTGGGGTAAACCACAACAGTCCTTTTTGACACCCAGCGTGGGGCTTAAAGAGTTGAGGTAATGACAGATCTGACCAGAGCATACTAAAACAGATGTGTTATAAGCATTCATTGTAATAGTATAATACTCACTGTTGATTTATTTGCTCTCAGAGCTGTTGCACATGTTCTCAGAGTTGCGTCATCTAACACCTTACTTGCTGTGTATGTTCCCTGTAGTGGTGTTTATGACCTCTGGGGGCTGGGTTAAAGTTATCATATAGTTGTACTTTGCAACACAGGTTTATGATATGATAAAACTACTGGTCTTGAGATTAATCTGGTATTTGTGCTCAGCTTTTTCATCATCTCCATACTTTGGGAGCCATCTGTTGGAAACTATTAATAATAACACCTTCTACCTTTCCTCCTCAAAGATCTAGTCTATGGCAGAGATACCTTCCTCCATCTTCCCCTTCTCCTCCAGGCTAATTACAATAGCTCTTGAGAATTTTGACTATCCACAGGTTGCTCAAACCAGCATGCTCCTGTCACTATGTCTCCTGAATGCGTTTCAGATCTTGCTTAGGGATAAACAACTATTTAAGAATACCATCACCCACAGATCTGCTCCAAGGCTAAATATCTATGAGTGACAGGGGGTGTGGGATAGTATGGACAGTGGTCACCTTCAATGTTTTGGAATTTCAGCTCTGAATAAGTGCAGAATCCTGAAAAAATTGTAAAATATTTGGAAAAATGATGCTGTCATCCTGCAGTTCCAGAGAAACAAATCACTGCAGCATGCTGGGGCCCGGGCCGTGACCACCGGATCTTGTTCAATACTATTCAGTGTCCTCAAGGAGCAGAGGTGGTCTCTAGATCTGACACAAAACAACAGGCACTGAGTTTGAATCAAAGAACCAACCCGTGCTTGTTACCAGTCACCCCTATACACAAGAAGAAATAATGGAAGTGGAGGTCAGCTCATTTAGTAAGGGATGAAGGAGCTGCTTCTAGGAGGGAGCAGAAGGAAGCAGATGAGGCTGACTGCTGTAAAGTAAGGCCATCACAAGAACAGGAGAAGGAAGAGAGGCAGCCACTGATCAGGGAGAAGGAAGAGGAAAAACTCATAAATGAGGCAGTAACCACCCATTCCTTATCCCTGAGTGAGCTGCAAGATACGTGAACAGATTTCAGCCATTGTCCAGGCAAGCACATTGTCACCCGGCTGCTCCAATGCTGGGATAATGGGACCAGTAGTCTAACAGCTGGGATCCCTGTGTAGGGAACAGGCCATTGACAAAGCGATTGGAAAAGGGGCACAAGTCCTCAGCGTCTGGAGAGTCCTGTCAGGAATGAAGGAAGTGCATCCCTCCATGGAAGATGTCATATGCAGACTAGGCAAGTGGACCGCCATGGAGAAAGGTACCCAGAACCTGAGGGAATTAGCCATGCTGGAGGTTGATTATGATGACCTGGACAATAAGCGGTGATCCACAGATCCAGATGAAGTCAGGTACATGTGATGCACGTGGCACGTTCCTGAACATCTCTCCTGAAGTAGCACTTGAGAAGGGCTTTTTTTTTTTTAATGGGAAGAGAATAGATCCATAATAACTTGGTTTCAAACACCCATTTTTTGGTAAAAAAAATTTATATGGACTTTATGGGTTCCTGCCACTGTGCTGTTTGCTCCCAGTGTTATCATACAACCTATTTGGCCAGAATTTGGGGTTAAAGCAAAACTCAGAAATAAAGTTCTCATTTGCTTGCTTATATGCTGAATTTCCTGTGCTTTGGTGTCTTGTTTATCTTTCTATTCTAATTTTGGAGTATGATGTAGATAATTCAACTCTGTAGTCCTCCTTCCCAGGAACTTACTATAAAAATATTTAGAAATGGGTATAAATAAACATTGTTTTGTTTCTGTATCTCATAGCTAGCAAGTAAATTCATCTTCCAGTTGTGAATAACAAATCCCCGTGTAGATTGAGACTACAGAAAGTTAGTTTGGGTTTACAGGATATGGGTAAGAAACACATTTTTCCTTGTTTTCATTCTTTTCTCCCCATGCCTGGCCATAGAAGCCCACAGATATGCATTGACATCAAGCTGAATTAAGCAGCTAAGCACAACCTTCTGCTCACAGTTCTGGCTTAGGTGTCCTTTAATGCCTGAGACTGAACACTTGCACCAAATTTCAGTTAAATAACTAAATGAACCTACTCTGGAGATCACTTTTCACTTGACTGATCATTCTATCTCTTTTAATAACTCCATCAGACTCACAAACCATGGACAAGCTGTTTACAGGATTGCACTAGAATCCACCTTGAGTGGGAATTCATGGCTACAACCACTGCAGTTGGGTTGCTGGTTTGTCCACCACCCTTAATAAACTCAGAGGAGACAGCAAATGCATTTCTTAAGTCGGACTCACGACTGCCCTTCATTTTTGGCAAATTCAAGATAAAAAGAATTGCAGTCTTTGCTGTCCAGCACCCCTGAACCCGAGCACAAGGTTTTGCACAATTTCTGTTAAATATCTTGTGTTACAAGAAGATATTTTCCTTATTTATTTGGTTTTCTTTATTTTGGTAGTTTTATTTTCATGGGTTTTTTAAATTTAAATTTGATTTGTTTGGCACTAGCTGGGAAAAACTAAGGAGATATTAAAACTCTCACAGCAGCTTGTGTATTTTAGGAGATTTTTCTCTCTTGGGCTTAAAAATTATGACACAAAAAGCACACTTTAAGAAAATCATGCCTGGCTGAGGAAACTCGTCACTGACCCAGCTGGGTCACTGGGAGGGAGATTTGTTTTCATTTCCTAGCATAACACTTGGATCACCTCTTTTGCCCTGAACCACCTGGTACCCATCCAAGCAGACTTTTCCTCCTTCTTTCTGAAATGAGGGAATTAGTCACAGACTGTAATGTAGAAATTAATTGGACAGCTGCTGTTCTAAAGAGCCTGCCAAGTCTGAATGACTTCCAGCTTATTTTTGGGTTGGAGTTGGGTCTTTTTGAGTTTCCAGAAACTGTAATTTCAAAGACATGGTTTCTCTCTATTCTCCTCTTTCTCTATGAAGACTGTGGGGGCTATATTTTGTGCTCAGACATACTCATGCAAACCTGCAGAGCCTAAGGAAGTTTTCTGTGGGTGAGTGACTAAATAGAATAGAGAGAATGTGGGGTTTGAACCGTTGCAGTCAGACGAGGGCTGCCTGATAGCTTCAGAGCCTGTAAACTTACTGGGATAGGGATGAAGTCTGTTACGGTTTTAGTAGAGATCTTATGGCTTGCTTTCTTCTCTTTCTGCTCTCTTTCTTTCTTTCTTCTCTTTCTTTTCTTCTTTTTCTTCTCTTTCTATCTCTTTCTCTCATTCTTTGTCGTTTCGTCTCTTTGTCTCTTTCTTTGTCTCTTTGTCCCTTCTCTGCCTCACATCCCCGGTCATAGAAAACCACAGATAGATAAAGTCCTGGTACATGTCAAGATCTTGTTACCTTTTGGTTTATCTCCATCATCACTTCTGCTTATTGCTCTTTAGTTAGGCACTGAGAAAAACTAGGCACTCCATACAAAGACTGACTTTTCTTCTGGTCCCGACAAGTTGCTAGCACAAAAGGACAACAGCCGGAGGGGTCCTCATTTGCTGAAGTTTCCTGGTTACAAAGGTTTGTACACACGTTCTTCTGGTGTTGTTGAGGGGTTTCTGAAGCATTTGGCACTAGATACCACCATCTTCCACTGCTAAGCCTGGATTCGAGCAGAGCTTTTTAGCATGAGATTTGATGAAAATTGAGTTATAGGGATGCGAGAACTCTGTTCTCCCATGCAAAGAGGTGGCAGGGGGGCATGTCTTAATATTAAAGTGACAAAGCCAGGCCTTCCCAAAATGCTGGATCCTACCATCCCTAGCTGCAGACTCAGAAAGCCAACTGTGAAGCCCAGGTTGCAGGAGGATGGCCAAAACTGGTCACTTCAGTTTCTTGTGGAGCCCCTGGGCAGCTTGGGCAGTGTCAACTTGCAAGCTGAACATTGTGAATGTAAACACTTGATCTGAGCCCTGCCAGTGTGAAACAACCCTTCTTTGTCTCATGAAAGTTCATCGGGTTTCTCTGAGGAAGGCATTGTTGAAGAAGACAAGTGGGCTGCTCTCTGCCAACCCTGCAGGGATTCAAGAGATGCTTCCCGAAGGCTGTGAAGTACAACAGCTGAGATGACACTTAGAGGTCAAGCTGAAAATTAACTGTTTGGAACACAGGCTAGAATCCGTACAGTCTTAAGGGGTTTCTGGCATGTGTATTACTTGTAGAAGGAAGGATGAAAGCATATGGGAAAAACAGAGCCAGTCTGTGGGAAAAGCAATGTATATGAGAGAAGAGCTGGGGAAAAGGAAGAGGGAATTGTATCTGTTTTTAAAGCATGCACCCATTCAGTTACAAAAGATGGAAAAGTCTGCAGTGTCTGGAACTTCAAAGTAACGTTTCTACTTTTTCTTATAGAATTTTCTTAATGGTTTGGATATAGCAGTGTCAGCAGATCCGTTCTTTATAGCAAGGTGTTTGTCTGTGACATGGTTTCTATGAGCTTTGGGAATAATATTAACCAACGCAGGTAATCTGGAAGTAGTTCAGAGCTAAGGGGTAACACAGTGGTCCTCACTGTGCACATCTTCAGCTGGAAGCCACACAGAAACATGCACCCAGGGAAAAGTAATCCCAAGGGGCCACACTCATTCAGTAAGTGGAATCGCAATGGCAGTGACCTTCTGCTATTCTTAGCACTGGCTTCCTTGTTAAGTCCATTGCTGGCCAGATAAAACACAACATGACATGATGGAGCCCCCCTAGATGATGATGGCATTGTGTCAGTGTAACTCCAACTTTATGCAACTACCATAAGGATGCTCAAATGCCTCACTCTTAGAAGATGCTTTAAAATCAGGCCCCAGAACACGGAAACTCAAGTCTATGCACAGCACAGGTTAGAGCACACCTTCCCTAGTGATGGGCTGCTTAAAAAGCTGTTGTAAAGTGTTTACTCCAATAGCCTGAGACTGCAGGGATCACTGGAAACTCATCGGTCACCCTAACAGCTGATCTAATTTACTTTTGTCTTCCAAAGGATTGCCCTGGTGATGTGTAATCTGGTTTGCCAGAGCACTGAAAGGATGGGACTTTCTCTGTGTGAAAAGCTTCTTTGCTGCACCAGGCTTGCTAAAAGGCCAGTCTTAGAAAAGAAAAAGCATTGCATAAAACAGCATTTTTCATTTTATCTGTTGGGTAGAGTTACCTCACATACCTGAAAAAATCTGAGAGATTTTTTCCACTTTCTAATGAAACTTAAAGGCCATTAAGTGATATTAAAATGCAAGGAGAAAAGAGAATTTAGTTATAAGAAAGCCATGGTCATATTCTGTTTCTTTGGCTTAATTAACCTCATCTCTTGGTCACTCTTGTTTTGATGAGTAAAACCTTAATTCTGCCTCTACCTATTTGAATCCCTCATTGTCAATGTATCAATAGATAAATACTCACTAGCATTTATCTAATATAGGTCATTCATTTCATTACTATTAGTTTCATAACCAGTATTCAGCTGAGAATGAAAACCTGATTTAGGTAACTGTGAACATCTGCTTGGCCCAAGCAGGGGATCTTGGGTTCAAACAGTGATCCAGGAAAAGCCAAGTGATGACAAATTGACCCACAATGACCTGCTAGCATTAATCAAATTGCTCTCTCCACCTTCCCTGCAGAGGGAAAGCCAGGAGAGAATCCAGTATCCACTGTGATATACTGAATCATCTCCAGAACTACTCCAGAATTTTAACTTATGGGTTCATCAACCTACGAAGTCTTATCTCCTTCACTCTTCTCTTTCACAGATGTGTCCATGAGGTCGATGAACAGCAGAAACAGATGTGAAGGTCGTGTTAAAGTCTATTACATGTAGCTGGGGGACAGTCAATGATGACTTCTACGACATAAATGACATGCAAGTTGTGTGCAGGCAGCTGGGACATGGGAAAGCTCTCTGCATTGGGAAATGCACATTTAATTCCATGATCAAGGAACGTTTCCCAGGATGATATACAGTGCCATGGAAATTAATCCTATCTGTGGGAATGCTCTTATATAGGACAGTCAACACATAACTGTGGGCACAGAGAAGATGCCAGTGGGCTTTGCTCAGGTGCTTTTGGCATGATTTTATTTATGTAAAATTATATAAATTACAGACCTAATTATCAGCCTGAGGCAAAGCTTATGGCAACAAAGTAGAGCTGTCAGGGTGCAACACAAGAGAAGCACAATGTGAACACAGAAGTGAACCCTGGAATAGGCTGCCCAAGGAAGTTGTGAATACCCCATCCCTGACAGTGTTCAAGGCCAGGTTAGATGGGGCTTGGAGCAACCTGCTCTAGTGGAAGGTGTCCCTGCCCATGGCAGGGGGTTGGAGCTGGATGAACTTTAAGGTCCCTTCC